GACATCAATGTCACAGCTGCTAAAGGTCTCCAACATGAGACCTGAATCCATCAGTGCACACACACACACAAACACACAAACACACACACACACACACACACACACACACACACACACACACACACACAGGCAGAGCCTTTCTCATCTCCCGGCTTAATCACTGAAAAAGATAAGTATGGCTCCAAGCCACACACAGGCAGGCAAAGTACACCATGAAAGCAGTGGGCAAACAATCCATAAATCCCTCTGAACACTTTCCAAGTCCAAATTCTGAACATCAGAGAAGCTGTGTTCAAAACGACTGCAAATAGCCACGAGGCCTAGCTGCAAAGGCCTCTGTAATCACTGATAACAAAGCCGAGGCAGAATTGTTTATAGAGAATTAAATCCTTCACAGGAAGAAGGATTTCTCTATATTTCCACACTGTTGTTTGTAACTCTAAAATATGAATTGTGTGAGAGTTGCTGATGGAGAATGTTGTTGATGATCGTTCCCGTCAGGTGTCCGGATGGGTTCTTCCACAACAGCAATATTCTTAGAAGTGTTGTGCGACTTATTTACTCAGAGCTAATTATATATGTGTGTGCATGTGTCCAAATATACATCAAACATCATTCACACTATCAGCATCCAGGGTAGATTTCTTAGTAATGCCAGTTTATGTCGCTTTTTTCTACCGTCTTCCTCTGTTTGTTATGCATGTTGCTTTGTTCCAGGCTCATCTTTAAATGTTTTCAACTCAGTCTTTTTTTTCCATTTGGGGAAATAATTAAGTTTTGTGATGTTTTGCATTGGTGCTAGAAATATATACCTGCAGGGTAATGTCTAAAAATGTTCAGGGCTGGAATGCTTGGGTGAAAGCTGTTCGTACTCACTTGGGGAACAGGTTCCTGTTACTTTCATAGAAGAGACGAAGCTCATGTGGTGTGCTGGCCTGTATACAAAAGACACAGAGACGAGAGTAAGACTTGGAGATGACCACCCACAGACTATAACAATGCAAATGAATGAGTCTGGACTTTACAAACAAGCATTTGAATAACCGATCTTCTGGCCTAAAGCTTTACGAATGTAAATTTTGATCTCTCTCCACTGCTTTTTTCTCTTCTCCATCCCCTCACCCCATAACCCAAGCCTAGGTCTGCTGGAGGTCTCTTGACATCATAATGGAGTTCTTTCTTCCCACTGTCACCAAGCAGTTGCTGATAAAGGATTGTCTGATTGTTGTGGTTTTTCTTTCTAATACTGTGAGGTCTTTGTCTTATAAAATAAAGCACCTTCAGGTGACTGTTGTCGTTATTTGTCACTATATAAAAGCATTTGAACTGAATGAACTGTTGTGTAATGGTTTATATAGCCCAAGCATAAACACAATCAGGTTTCCAGAAAGGCGAAAGTGTAATGAATGCTTGCCAGCTAAACCAAATAAACATCACTCTCAGAGACATCAGCAGCAGCGCCTCACCTTTCGCTAACCTTTGGACTTAACTCACTGACCTGCCAGGCAGAAATAAAAGGCAACCTTCCCTCTCATTGCTAGAGGAAATAAACTGCAATATAAATAACCTCAAGAGATGTAACGGACAAAAGGGCCAAACACAATGTTTTTCTGTCTACACAGGGACAGAAGGGGCAACTTTAGCACAAAATACTCAACCAACGAGGAGGTAAAACTATGTGTCTATATATGTGTGTGAATCACAGCTGAGGCAGCTTGCAAATAACAGTGCAACAGTGGCATCTGAGCAGACACGTGAAGAGGGGAAAGTAATAGCTGAGGTTGTGAAACAGCATTTACTCTGGGTTCACAGAAATGGCTCACAGTAATTTCCAGCTGCCTCTCTCATCATCCCATCTTAGGTAAACAAGGCTCATTTCTAACAAGGCGCTCCAACGTTTTCCAGCTAACAACACAGAAGATGTGGAAAAGTATCACCCAGCAGGCAGTGTCGCGAATCATGTTTTTTCATTTTTAATGTTATGAACAAGATGCATCATGTTACACTTTGACATCAGTTAGTTTGTCCTTTGTGTGAACTGAGGCAAAACAATTTCATGACTGCTTGTGATTATGCAAGGGACCTTAGCAAGTCTTTGTTAGTATTGGTTCACATGGTTTTTTTTTTGTTTTTTTTTTTTTTTAAGTGCTACTCACATAAAATGGTGCTTTTCCAGTCAGAGACTGGTACACGATGGTACCGATGCTCCACAGATCAGCTTTGGCATTATAGTTCCTGGACATGATGACCTCGGGAGCCTGTGGCCAAAAAAACACCCCAAAACAGCTTAGAGGTACGGTTCCATCACACCTGCTTGGCACAGGATACCAGAGTGAACTACTTTAATGCTTACCATATACATGGGAGAGCCACACAGCGTGGCTGCCATGGTGTTTGTCTGGAGATGACGCGCAAACCCAAAGTCAGCTGGAGGGTGAGAGAAACAGGTGGCAGTGTTTTCCTTTTAAATCTATATGAACACATTTTTATTTTACATTTAGACCATCTAATGCAATGCTGGTGTAAGTCATTACCTAACTTAAAGGTGGTATTGATGGAACTGGACCTGCGCCCCTCTGGATGGCAGAGCAAAATGTTCTGGGGTTTGAGGTCTCTGTGGACGATGCCTTTGCTATGTAGGACCTTCATGGCCCGTGATATCTGCTGCAGGAATACATGGATGGTGTCTTCACTCAGAGTGCCTTTAGCTGTCGATACAGAAAGAGAAAAAGAAATTCAGCCTGATGGAAGATTTATTATGCTGGATAAAAAGAAAATGCATTAGCTTACTTATGTGAGACTTTTTTTTTCTAAAGCTCAAAATATGAAAATACACTAGGAAAGCAAAGCCAAGCATAGAAATGCTGCAGCTACCAGCAGATATCTGGAGGAATATCTGACATGTACATACTGTAAGGACTGCGATATAAATATATACTTTGTTTGCTATCACATGTTCACTGTAACTTATTTATGGTGTAACGTGTCAGCATCAATGCTGCTATGCCTCACGGAGGAAGATTTTATTCATAATGCCTCAATTAGAAATTAAAGTCAAGGCTGTCTGACACACTAGCCCCCCCCCCACAAATTCCACCACCACCACCTACTGCTGCACCAAACACCCCCCTCCCTCCCAGTGCATCAGCACCCCATAGCCGTCTTGTTTTCCACCAGAGGACAGAGCATAAGGGAGTGACAGATGGGTGAGGTCATGTGGGAGCAGCGAGAACGTTGCCAAATGTGCCCGAGTGCTGCGCTGCAAATAGCTGTATGTGTCTCCTTGGCAGAGACACAGAATTGGCAGCTCTAGCCTTTAAGGACCGCTGGCACTGGGGCCGTATTAGACCGACACTCCACACCAGCGGGGCAAACCTAGCCCCAGGAAAAATTAACTCCATGTGTCATCATTATTTGAAACGCGGCTTGAAACTTGAAGTAGGGGAATTTCCAAGTGAGAGAAGTTTTATTTAATGTTGTACTGTAAAAAAAAAAGAAAAAAAGTGGGGGTTTATTTTTAGGCTGCTCATTTTGCTCTGTTTTTTCACACTGTAGGCAAACACTGGAGAGAAACTTTAGGTCAACAGGTTTTTAATCTAGGTTAAGTACTTGGTAGTATTCATGATAATTCACAGAATGAACTTTAAACCTGACTTCTTAGGTCACACTGCCCTGTTAGAATCCTATTAGTCCCTCAAAACACTACAAAAAAGCTGAGCTAAGCCCCTTAAAAGCCAGACCAGTACGACATGTTAACAAGCACCCCAATGCAATGGAAAGATAAGGTGTGAATGTCCTGTTTTTCTTTTGTGCTTTTGCAAAAACTGTGCAGCACAGATTCTGAGCTTTAAGCCATTTGTTTTGCAGCAAACTTACAATGAAGGTACTCTGCCAGGTCACCTCCATTGCAATACTGAAAAGACAAGAAAGACAAGCGTCAGCTCGGCTGACAATGCTGCCCAAGTAGAGGATGAGATTTGCATTTTCCCATGAAAACAAGACCAACCATTAGCATTTCAAACACAACTCACCTCCATAACAAGATACACGCATCCCCCAGTCTCCTGTTAATACAAGCAGATAATATGCAAATCATTCACAATGAAGCTACATGCAGTATTATTAAGCACTGGCTACATGATAGCTAAAAAAAAAAAACAGAGCTGAAGTTTGAGTCAGTAAAGTCACAAATATTTAAACTGCTTAAATACAACACTGGCATTGTAAACATTGGATTAGAAGTTCAGGCTATTCAGTGTTGCAATAGCCACAACGAGTTACATCAGCTGATTTGTAAGACTCTTTTGGCCCATCAGCAGCAGCTTCTAGAAACTCATCTTTGATGCAGGGAAACCTGATCCTGTCAATACCACTGAAAAAGCTAACGAGGTAATATGAAGTGGAGCGAGAGATGTTCAGCGAGCCAGGTCCATTTGACTGTAATGGAAAGTAACAAGTGGGAAATCAAGTTGCGTCTTGCTTTTATTACACCAGGTTAAAGTTGATGAGCTCTCTGTGTGCCGTACTGAAACCTTAGAACTGTTTACCACTCGCACTTGCACTATTGCATAAAATACCTCAAGGCTATTATGGTGCAATGTGGTTTATATATATATATATATATA